CTGCACCCAGGCCCCAAAGCTGGCCCTGCTCGCCTCCACCAGCAGGACAAAAATGAGAGATGTAAAAACAGCAGGTTACACCATATATGATGAAAACGCCTGGAGACAGATGGTAGACTGCTTTTTCCACTCAGGCGACCCACACAATCGTAATCACGACAGCTACCTGTATTGCGTCCTTGTTGTGAACTAGAGACCAGGCAGAGACACCATCTCATTTAACCATCACATTGTTGCTTTAAGTAACAGATGGAAAACCGAGGATCAGAGAGGGTAAGGAACTGGTCCAAGGGTGCAAAAGCCCAACTCAGCCCGAGATTCTAGAACCTACAGCCAGAACCACTGTGTGCTGGACAAAAGTGTCCCCCCATCCTGACCCTCTAAACTGAAGGGTGAGGGGAAGGCCCCGTGACCTCTGGAAACTCTCCCAGACTCCTCTTCTGCCGAGAGCATGGGGCCAGGTCTAGTTTCCATCCTTGGGTCTGACTTCCCTCTTGAACCTTCCCCCAAACCTCTGACCCTTCTTTCTCAGAACTCACGTGGCTCCCCTAGTTCCCCCTGAGCACCTTCTCCTCCCCTACCAGGGCAGTCACCCTTACAGGACAGGCAGCTCAGGGTTAGATTTATGTACTTATTTTTGTTTTATTTTGAAAGGCTTGGAGTAAAGTCTAAAATACTTTGTGGGGGTGGAGGGGTATGGGGTGGGGGTTCTTCATAAGGATGGGGAATTGCCCAGGGGAGACGTGAGTGAGGAGCTTCTGGGCGGCTAATCTTCCTGTGAAACAGCACAGAACTCACATATATTGATAGAATTTCAAAACTGGAAGCAGTTACCTAGAGCTAAACTGGGTTCAAATCCTGGTTTCACCATTTCTTAGCTGTGTGACCATGGGTAAATTGCTTAACCTTCCTGTGCCATGTTTCAAATGGGGGATAATAATAGTACCTGCTTCACCATGTTGCTGTAGTGATATTATCACTGTTATTAGCTCTTCATTAATATTTGTTGAGAGCTCATGGGAGTTTTTGGAGAGACCGTAAAGCATCATAGCTGAGAGCACAGGTGCCTGCCTTTAAATCCCACTTCACTACTTATAGCTGTGTAACCTTGGTTAAGAAATTGACTTCCCTGGGTCTCAGTTTCTTTGTTTGCCAATATTTCCCTTGGCTTAGAGGTGGCATGAGATACTATTGGACCAATGAGATTCCAGGCCAGGTCTTGTGCTGGGACGACCAGGGGAAAGTAGCACTCTTTCCATCGACATGGCTGAGTTGGCAGGATAGGATGTGAGCGTGGAGCTGCTGGGTCCATCCTGGTTACCTCCGGAGGGCAGCCTGCCTGCGAGTAAAGCTAACACAGGGGGAAGTAGATAAAAGAACTGTCGAGAGGCAGAGTCATGATGACATTGTCTGAGCCCCTGGATGTAGCTGTGCCTGAAGCAAGCCATCTTTGAACTTCCCAGTTTCATGAGCCAGTAAATTCCCCATTTTGTGAAAGCCACTTTTAGTTGGGTTTTTCTCACTGGAAAGCATCCAGGCTGACACCAGGAGGTTAAGCAACTTGCCCATGGCCTGAAAGCTGGGGAAGTAACCAACAGGATTTAGAAGCTTCTAACCCATTGTGACCATTGCTCCAACATCCAGGCCAGCGTTCTGTATTTGAGTATTTGTTGATTTCACCTCTCTGAGCAGCCATTTTCTCATCTGAAAAACGGAGTAACACCAGACTTGCGGAGCTGTTGGGAAATAGAAAATGCTAGCTAATACTGTTACCTACCATTGTCTGTGGTTGGTTATAGGCGAAAGTTCTGTGCATCAAGTTTCCAGTGCTTTGGACCTTGACTTTGCCCCTGGTAGTTATTCCTCCTCAGGGGTGTCTTTAGCTGACCACCAAATCAGCCAACCAGTCAAGATGCCCAAACTATGTTAGGAGAGCGTGTGTGACTCTCAGAAGGAAGGGCCATCACCCTTCCTGGCTGTGTGTCCTCAGTGGTAGACAGAGGCTGCTGGGTGACCCTGAGGACACTTAAGCTCTGAGCCTCTGAAGTGGAAAGAAGCCCTGTCTTGGTTTCTGGAAACTTCCAGGGACCGAGAATGAACTGTATATGGCTTAAGGAAGACAGCATTGAACCAAGCCAACTGTTTCTTTTCTTCATGAAGTCTACATTTAGTGGTGGAGATGGACGATAAACACATAAAACAAATGCAGAATATAATACCACGTGGTAACACTAGGGAGAAAATATGTCACCAAATGCCTGATAAGTGCTAAGAAGGAAAAGGGATAGAGTGACAGGGCACTGTTTATTAGGAGGCATCAGAAGGGCCCTCTCTGAGGAAGTGACATTTCACCAGAGACCAGTTTGGTCTCACTCTGGATCCCAAGCTCTTAACACTGAGCTATCTGCCAGGAAAAAGACCAGGACCGATTTTACCAGGCAACTTGCTGACTCTGCTAAGTCAGGAGTCGATGATCCTTGGTAAACAGCTATCCTTCTCCACTGACAACTCTTTAGGACATTTAAAAAAGTTTAATGGGCCATTGATTTCCTCCATTAGCTAAATCCATGAAGGAAAAGGCCAGAGAAACCATGTGAGACCATGCCTGCCAGGAAGAGGTTTCAGCTATCATGACACATGATCATTTGTTTATTTCTCAACCAGTCATCACTAAAGGATTCCCAGTCCCCATCATCACATCTCTGGGGGATACCCGGGTTTGGCTGGTTCTCAGCCAGGCTTTGGCAGGGAATCGGCGGGCCTTACGGATGAAAGCCAAGCCTCAGATGGGCATGGAAGTCTCTGGCATCACAAGCCCCTCCTCCTCACCAAATAGCAGGTGCTTGGGACATGGACAAGAAATCAAAGGAGATTAGACAGAAGGAAAGGAGAAGACACAGAGATGAAAACCATGTGAAGATGGAGGCAGAGATTGGCGTGATGCTGCCACAAGCCAAAGAACATGAGCCATCAAGAGTGGGAAGAGGCAAGGAAGGGGTTTTCCCCTAGAGCCTTCAGAGGAAGTGTGGCCTCGTCAAGACCTTGATTTCAGAACAACAGCTCTGGCCCCCAGAACTGTTGGAAATAAATTTCTGTTGTTTCAAGCCACCAAATGTGTGGTAATTTGTTATGGCACCCCTAGGAAACTAACACAGCCACTAAACAGCCTAAACTTGGAACTTGCTTTAGCCTGCCGCAGCCGCCCACTCCTCCATCAAGATCCTGCCCATACCGTAACTTTGGCCCCACTCAACGATCACTCTAGTCATTGGGTGGCACTCCCTGCGGGCATGAGGGCCACTTGGGCTCCAGACAGGTATTTGATTTATTTACTTGCTTAGTTCAACCCAGGGATAGGAATGAGCCAGCCCTGTTCTCTCTTCCCCCAAGGAGTTCTGTGAATTCCAGACAAACTAGCACTCAAATAAATAAGGGCAGGAAGAGTATACGAGAGCCTGGAGAGCCACGTAAATGGGCTAAGACTTAAATTAGGCAGCTTCCCAGTGTGGGATTCCCAAACTTTTCACCGGAATGGGCATCTATGGAATACTCAGTTTCTAAAGATGTTGCCTATCAAACCAATTGCATTATTCATTAAGAATTCATTTACCTCCCCATGTGCTATTATTTGGAGGTATATAATAATGAGGGCTAATATTTATTGATCCACTCACTGTACTAAGAGCATTATATATATATATATTCATTCAATCTTCACACCACCCCATGAGGTTGGGTACTTTTATTGGTTTGTCGGAAAAGTCATGACGTATTTTTTCTATGTTTTTTGTTGCAAAAATGCATCATGACTTTTCCGGCAACCCAATATTATCCGCACTTTACAAAGGAGGGGAACAGAGACAGAGAAAGGTTAAGTATTTTGCCCAAGGTTGCACAGCTAGTATTTAGTAGAGCTGGAATTTGGACCCATGCAGCCTGCCTCCAAAGCAAGCATTCCCCTGGAGACTGGATTAGAATCCTGGCTTCCATACCAATGTGCAATGCTACTCTGGACAAATGATTTTGCTTCTCTGCACCTCAGTTTCATCCATAAAATGGGAAGAAGAATAGTGCCTATATTGTAGGGTTTGTTGTGGAGATTAAGTGAGAACGTGTACTTGGAATGCCAGACACAGTGCCTGCCACAAGCATTCAAGGTATTAATTCAACCGGTGATACCAGCAGCTGCTCTGGGCAGGTTTGGGGTGCGAACAGGGAACAGATGATTCCGCCCTCTAAGATCTCTGACCCCATGCAGTTCACAGCTCCATATAGTGTGCCAGGCGAGCTGAGTGGTTTCAAGTAGAACGGGCAGGAAGGCAACCTGACCAGCTTTTCTTATATGTGCTTCCAGGACCATTGGTGTGCAATTAGCTGGGTTTGCTGGTGAAAAGTACAAATTCTTGGTATCCAAATCCTTTGGAGGTAGGCCCCAATCCATTAATTCCTGCAGCACCTGAAATCAGAGACCCCCCCAAACGGAAATCTTGTGTTTCAGTACAAGGACAGTGCAGAGAGTAGGGGGCCTTTCCCAACAGCCTGGTGAATCCTAAGTTTTAGGAAAAAGGGGCGGACATGTAGCCAGAGGCGGGAGGCAGGAAAAGGAGCATGGGTCCTCCGCCCATACACCAGCTTGGAGCACTGAGGCCAGGGCTGTGGCGCTGCAAGAAAGATACACGACTACTTCAAGGCCACCCTGCAACTTTACCGGCCTCCTCCAAATCTGAACTCAAGATCCACGGGGTCCTTGCAAACCCACGCGCCGTGGGCGGGGCTCCCGGGGTCGCCTAGGCAACGGGCGCGCGCCACGCCCAAGCTCGGAGTCCGGGTCGGGAGGAGCGAGCGTGCTGGGGGGTAAGATGTCTCGCGGGGCTGAGGCTACTTCTCCCAGCACCTCCCCCTGGCTCCGCCCCGCGGAAGTGCTGGCCGACATTTTCGACCACTGATTGGCCCTCCCCTTTGCAGGGCGGAGCCTGCGGCGGCGCGGGTGCGTACTTCCGGCTGCCGAGTTGACATGAAGAAGCAGCGGCAGCTAGGGCGGCGGTAGCGGCGGGAGTCGAGGCTTGCAGCGGGGCTCCCAGCTGAGAGCGCGACGCGGCCTAGAGCGGCAGACGGCGCAGTGGGCGGAGGAGGAGGCGCGGCAGCCGCCCTGGCCCGTCATGGAGATGGAAAAGGAGTTCGAGCAGATCGACAAGGCCGGGAGCTGGGCGGCCATTTACCAGGTGCGGGAGCACCCCGGAGCGCGGCAGGCCCTTTGCTTAGGCCGCGTGAACCTTCCCCTCAGACCCCCGGGCCCCGTACTCCCTTTGGGTCCCGCCCTCCGCCTCGGCCCTGCTGCTTGAGGGCTCGATCCAACGGCGGCAGAGGCCGGCCCCCCTCTTTGTCCCATGGGTGGGCCTTCGTGTTTCCCGGACCTCGCAATCGCCTTTGATCCCCCACTTACCTCATATCCTCTAGCCCGGGTGACCTCTCAAGCCTGGAGGCCGCGCGGGTCTATGCTCTTTGCGCGAATCCCTCGCACCTCGACCCCGCCCCCCTGCCTGTCCACTCTTTGTCTCTTGGGGTTGATAGAACACCCCCACTACTTCCTTTTCTAGACTGGACCACCCCAGACTCTCGTCCTTTGTCTCCCTAGGGGAAAGGGTTACTCCCCCCTCCTTCACACTTCCTTTCCCCTAGTCTCGGTGTGCGACGCGAGTCCCAGGGATGACAGTCCCCTGTCCCCTTCCTGTTCATTCATTTCATGGATGTGAACTGGCGTGCGTATTCCGTGCTAGGCGCTGCTTGGGCGCTGGAGATAAGTGTTGGCTGAACACGACAGACAAGAGGACCCTGCCCCTTCGTGGAGCTTAGAGTTGAATAGGGCCGCCAGACACATACACAGGCAGTTTCAGGTAGCGACGAGCGCGCTGTCAAGAAAACAAAAACATCCAAACGGGTAGAGCGTGACTGCGTGGACGGTGGGCCACCTAACCTCACGGAAGGGGATCAGGGCAGATCTGTCACAGGAAGAGACATTTGCTCAATGGGCTCAATGAGGAGCAGCCGCAAGCCACGAAAATCTCAGGCGAAAGAGCTTTCCAGCCAGAAGGCCCGAGGTGCCCACTTCAGGGGCCAAACTATTACCCTTTCAGGCCGGGAACAGGGAAGGTTAACGTGGTTTTTCTTTTTTTTTTTTTAGTTTTTTTACCTTCTCTAAAATAGCATCTTTCCCCCATGAGCATCGTACCCTTTGGTCATGACTGAGATGACCCGGCCTCCCCAGCCCTCATCTACTTGTGGGTTATGGTGGTTCGTAAAGAAAAGTTAGGAAGGCAGGGTTTCTCGCATCTCTCTCAAACATCAGATTAAAAACACGAAGCAGCCTGCTTTCGCAGGCAGCTAAATCCTCTAAAGAAAATATGTGCTCCTGATTAAATGTCATTGCGGGGGTTGTGAGGATTAACCAAAACCACACTGGGTATTTTTAAATAAAACGATGTACAGAAGAGAGAGATTTTGTTACTTGTGTAAAGGGAGAAGGCAGTTTATTCTGTTCCAGTGTATAGGCAGGCTCAAAAGGCAAATTGTGAGGTCCATCAGCTGGTAGTATTAAAATCTATTTTGAGCTCCACTTAAAAAGGAAAAAAAGCTTTAAGCAGTTCTTTGGTATGCTTGACTAACAAAAGCGTTTTTCTGGCAGGCTTGGTTTCATGTGGATTTGCATCAAGCTTATTTGACAGGGTTGTTTTTTCTTGGACTATGTAATGTATATTAGTTTCTGATAGACTAATATTTATAACCACTTTAATCTTTATAAGTATGATTGATAAGTGTATACAAATTTGTGTACCCTGTCTAGTCTATCTGAGTCAATTGAATGAATTCCGCTAGTGACTTTGAGAACGTGTGGACAGATTTTCTACATCAAATTTAATGCAGTAGAGTCTAAAGTGGCTCTAAATGAAAAAAATATTGTTGGTCTGAAATTGATGCTCTATGGTGGAGCCAGTTTCCCTGGGCCCTTCGTCTGAAATTGAAATGTTGGAGTTGATTAGGATACACCCCATCACAAGTGGAGGTGGCCTCCCGGAGGCATTGGGGAAAATCTTTTACACTGACACTGAATTGGCAACAACAAATTCATATTCTAATAAGTTCTGCATTTGATTTCTTACTGTTTTAGGCCAGAGCATGGAGCAGACTGGTCTTCAATTAATTCCCCTCATTGTTCTTACGTTTCTCTCTCTGCCTCATTAGAACCCCAAGAGTTGGTCAGGATTGCTGTATGTTGAGATTACCCCAGCTTCTAAATGGATTGCCATGTTCCTGGAGGTGGTTTCTTTTGACCCTAGAGAGCTGTCTACTGTGGGCCCTCTCACCTCTACCACGCTGCTGTTTTTCTTTTCTAAAATTGAAATCAGAGGCTCTTCTCTTTGAATTTAAAAGTGGCTCTGTATTGGGCAACTGTGGCATTTTTAAAAACATAGAGTTCAGATGACCTTGAATCTAAAGTGGCAAATTTCCCAAAGTGTGTGTCAATTTACCAAAACCATTATTTTTCAGTAATTCAAAGAAATGTGTTTATTGTTGGGGGGAAAAAAATGTAAGTTAAAAAAAATAACAATTTATAGCATGTCTAATGAGGGCAGCCTTATACAAGGTCATTTTGAGCTTGCTTAGTCTAGTGTGATTAAAAATATATAGAATTTTTGCTTTAAATTTTGCAAACAAGCCAGTGCAGTTATTTCTCACTATACTAAATTCTTTTCTAACTAGAACAAAAAGATGCAAAAACTTGAAACAATTCGGAAATGAACAAAACGTGAAGTAGGCTTTTGAATGCTGAGGAATGTGATAGCTACAAAACAAGTGTTAGGCAAAGATTCTTAGCTAGCTCAATCTGATAATGAGCATACCTGTTTTTAATTGTTAATGCTATTTTAATTGTTAATAAATAGCATAGATATTAATACACATTTAGGTCTATAAAATGTCACCTTTGATAGCATAGTAGATGGCTCTAAAAATTGTTTTCTACCATGTAAACGATTGTATGTCTGGTTTGAAAAGTGGAAGTAATACTTAGTGAGCCTAGAGTTTGAATTGGTCTTCCTGTCTAAAAGAGAAGAGAACACAGATAGGGGAAAGGGATTGGTTTTTGGAGCTAGAATGAGAAAAGAGAGGGCTTCAATGAATGAAAACAGCTGATAAGCTGCCTTCCATCTGTAGTTTAAGGTTTGGGTCAGGTGTTTTGCTCTTTTTCTCATCTCTAAATTCTTTGATTCTCTGTCACTGTTAACTGCTTTTCAGTGTGAATGATTTGATTGTTTCAGAAAAAGGAGGTTGCAACTATAGCTCGTGACTTGAAGACAAGATTTACTCCATGTTAGAGGCAGGCTTTGTAAAATGGTCCACTCTTCCCATTGTCATTTATTTTTATAGCTGCTTTCATTATGAAAAACGATCTAATGCCTATCTGGGTTAAAACCATGCTATAACAATAGTTCACTAGAATGCCTCACTGCTATATACAGCTTATGTTGTTAGAATCCAAGAAGGTGAATATTAAAATTTCCCAATAGTGTTTATTTAAATACCATTCTCTTCAGAGAACAACTGTATTTTGTGAAGAGGAGACAGATCTATACACTATGACTCACCTCAGTTTAAAAAAAGAAAAAGAAACGGAAATGACATGGAGAGATTGGGAAGTTCTAGTCATCTTGAGTGACCCATTAGATCTTAATGTTCTTGTTTGGCCTTGGTTTGAGTGAACTAAATTTAGGAGTCTGATCCTCACTTTGGAAATGGTGTAAAGACCTTTGTAATTGTCTGGACTTATATTAAATTAACGGGGAGCACAAGGAGAAATAGTGGAGGGAACTTTTTACTATTGTTATTTGTTTGACATCACTGGCATATTTATAGGAATACTTGGGTACTTTTGTTGTATGGAAGCACAGGTCAGCTGGGGGATAATGGTAAGGCAAATGATTTTCAGTTGCCAATTAGCTACCATTGGGCTCCATGGCCTCCCCACTGCATTTTGCATTTTAGCATGAATAGCTCTCCCAAACCTATAAAAATGCCTGGTATTAAATAATGTAATTGAATGTATACTGAATTTCATGACAGACAGGAATAAGATATTTCCTATAGGGGTTTTTTAGTCTATAAACTGCTGGAATAATGACTGAGTCTTGTTTGCCCCCTTTCTCCTTTTTCTCTTTTTATGTATTGTCTGTTTTCTGATCTTCTAGATTGTAGAATCCTTTTGGCGATTTTTGTTCTATGATGTGCTTTTAATTGCAGGTCCTTTTTTCTTAAGCCTGCCTCAGCCCATGTGCGTTTTGTACGCTGTGGTGTTGCTCCCTACAGTGTTTGTGTTAATTCGTTCATGGTGAAAAGCTAATACGACAAATAGGCTGGTCTTGTTTCTTTATACTGCCCATGTTCAGTGAAATGGGAAGTCTAGTTGGCTCATTGTTTCCAAGACAGTGAGTGTGCTTTGGTACCAGCCACTCGGTATGCATGTTTTGAGTACCCAGGAGGGCTGGGGGCTTTGGAGTAGTTCTTGATTCCTTCTACCACGTTTTGTTGATTGGTCACCATAGCATCCTTTCTATCACTCCAGTGGTCCAGATTCTCAAATTTTACTATAATGTAATACTACTACAGTCGTTTCTAGTTTCACACTGCAGAGATGAGTGAAACCAGTTAGGTGTTACTATGGGCCCTCAACAGTCTCTGCACATCTCTGCCTACCCCACCGTGTATGTTCTTTACATTATTGCTAGTTATTGTGTTAAGAACAGCCCTGTCCTGTCACTCGTCTGTTTAACTACTTCTAGTGCTCTCCTCATACCTGTAAGGTCCAAATTCCTTAGCATGGCAACCAGGTGCCAGCCATCCATGTACCTTCTAATCTAGCCTCACTAGAAGGCGCAGTGTTCTCCAAACTCCTCTTGCGTTCTTCCGTACCTTTGGCTCGACACTTTGTCCAGCGTGCCTTTCCCACCCAAATGTGTGCCTCCTTGCACGAGGTCTCAGCTCTCTCACCAATGTGTTTCCATACAATTTCATACAATTTCTTCTGCTCTTATGGGAGCTGTTTCTTTATATCCAGGCCTTTCTCCTCCAGAGTCAATGAGTCCATCTTTCTCATTCATCTTGGTGTCCTGTGCACCTGGCACAAAGCAAGTAAGTGCCTGACAGACGCTGGGATTGAATTGATTGTCAG